TGGGTGGGTCCGTGCTGGGGGTGCAGGCAGGAGGACAAAGAGGTCCCGGCCTGGCGGAGGCACGGCTCCCCCTGCACTGCGGTTTTCTTCCCCCCTGCGCTGTTAAAAAAAAGTCAGTATTTAAAAAAAAAAAGTCAGTGTTGTAAGGAAACGCCACCATCCCTGCGAGTGGCTGAAATCGCAGCTCTGTGGCATCTGACCAGCAGGCGGCCGGAGCCTCACGTCGGGGCCTCACCTGGGGCCTCACCTCGGGGCTTCACGCTTGGGGCAGGTGCTGGGGGCAGGTGCTGCGTCGCCCTGTTCCCTCTAAAAACCCCTGACTGCTGACCACTGAGCTCGTGGACACTCGGTGGGGCAAAGCCTGCGGTCGCTGCAAGGAAAGAGCCGCCAGGAGCCGCAGCCTGACATTTGCTACCGGCTTTGAAGGTCAAATCCCAGCTTTGAAGAGAAAACTTGAATTTTGGAAAATTTGTATTTGCTGCTGTGAGCTTGCCTGCTTCCAGATAATTCAGGGTTCCGCCGACAAGGCGAGAGAGGTAGTGATGGAGACTTGAGCTACCTGTGTCACCCTCGGGGGACCCTTGCGCCCGCGATGTTGTTTCCACGCAGTCACCCTCGGGTGTGCGTTCCGGCCGGACGTGTGTGGGACGGGACCAAGTGTGAAAAATTCATGGCGATGGCTTCAAGTTCCTTGTGGCAACCAGGCTTTAGGAGGCTACTATTTGTCGAGTTTTGTTTTTTTAAAGATTTTTATTTATTTATGCATACAAGAACTGGGGTACAGACCAGAGATGCGGTGGGGGGGGGGTGAGAGACAGAGAGAGGACAGAGTGGGGAGCAGAATAGGCGGATCTACTGAAATCCACTGCTGAGGGGACCAGTGGGGAGACAGGAGAGGTCTGCTGTGCCATGTGGGTAGCTCCCTGGCAGGCAGGGGATCGAACTTGTACTGCAGAGGCTGCGGATTGCTTCATAGTGCGGTGCTTAACCCCTTGCACCACCAAGGAGGCCCCTATTTGTCGAGTTTTGATGTGGTATCAAGTATGAATGTCCACACTTCCCTAAGAAGGTCATCGACATACTCCTCCGTTGTTGTGTATTTTTACGACGTGTGTGAAATTGTATTTCTTCATCTGCTTCAATAAAGCATGGGACAGATTGAGTGCAGAAGCAGCTGTGGGCCTCCAGCTGCCTCCCATCAAGACAGACATGAAAAGGATTTGCAAAGACATAGACCAACGCCTCTCATCTCGCTGTCTTTTATTTTGCAAACTCAAGACCTTAATTTTTTAATTCTTTTAAAAAAAATTAAGAATTATTTTTACTTATTTATGCATACAAGAACTGGAGTGTAGGCCGGAGGTGCTGGGGGTGGGGGTGAGAGGATTCACCAGAGACAGAGTGGGGAGCAGAACAGGTGGATCTACTGAAATCTACTGCTGAGGGGAGCAGTGGGGAGACGGGAGAGGTCTGCTGCACCTTGTGGGTCAGCTCCCTGGCTGGGGATCGAACTCAAGTTGCAGTGGCTGGCTCTAGCTTGAGAGCTAACCCCTGCGCCACCGGGGAGGCCCCAAGACTTTAATTATAATTTGCACTGATATGTAATGGATTTACTGTTGTGTTTTTAAATGAATACCTATGTTTAATTTCTGATAGAGTAAATGTTGGCCGTTGTAACCGCATAAACACAAGCTCTCTGGGGTACTTCATGAGTTTTAAGCGGGGGAGGGCACGGGGGTGGGGAACCTCAGAACCCTTGTCACGTGACACCCAACAGGACGGATGCATTTTTGATAACAGCACAGTCCCCGGAGGAGCAGGACTTTTTTTTTCAAAGGTCCATGTATAGTACTTGCTCACAAAGGAGTCTTTTTAAGATCTGGCATTTTTTTCCATGAAGTTTTCCACATTTTAGTCAAGAATGTAAGGGGGTTGATTAGTTTTTCATCTGTTTTGAATTTTCTCTTTGCTGTCGAGTCCGTGCTGTGTCCATTCCCGGGACAGCAGTGGGGAGGGACAGGAGGACAGAGGTCTTAACGCAGGGTAGGAGAACGAGGCCTTTGTCACCAGAAGTGTTAGTTTGTTTGTTGCTCAGTAAGAGTTTCATTATTAAGATTTTCCATCTTCTCTGGACTGTTATTTTCATAAGTGCGTGCTGTAGTTTACACAGTGTTCTTGAGGACAGATAACTTTATTGAAAACATATTGTTGGTTGGAGGCCAGTACTTTTAAGGTGGATTCAATTCAAATGCAGATTCTTAAAAAGGGGTTTTGTTAACAAAACCTGTTGCTTTATGTTGGCTACGTAGTGGCTGAAAAGGATTGCCAGCTAATAGAGTAGGGAAAATATGGAATTTGATGGTTACCAGGACAAAGAGGGTAAAATCTAAAAGCATATGGTTTAGCAGGTTTTCAAGGAAGCACCTGTAAGTGCTGAAAATAGCCCAGGCTTTGGGGATAATGGGCGGCAGGGGAGGGCTGGCGCAAGGAGGAGAGGGGTGTGGTGGAAGGACAGCTGGGGATCGAACCGGCGCACAGGGCCGCGGGCAGCTTCGCAACCAGCGCTCAACCGCTGCGCAAAGAGCCCTAATGCAATTCTTAAAAAGGGTTTGTTAACAAAACCTGTTGCTTATGTTCTCTACGTAGTGGCTGAAGGATTGCCAGCTAATAGACAGGAAAATATGCTTGATGGTTACCAGGACAAGAGGGTAAAATCTAAAAGCATACGGTTTAGCAGGTTTTTTTTTTTTTTTGTAAGTGCTGAAAATAGCCCAGGCTTTGGGGATAATGGGAGTTGCAGGGGGAGGGCTGGCCAAGGAGGAGAGGGGTGTGTGAGAAGGACTCTGAGATAAAGATGATCGCTGCAACAAGACCACAAAGGGTTACTGCTTTCAAGCAGAGCTTTAAAAAAAAAAGAAAAACCCTTGCTCTAAATAGATCAGAATGATGTGTAATCCTTACTCGATTTGTTTGTACACAGTATTTGTTCTCTCCAGTAGTTTAAAAAGACCTGCTGTGTTGTTTACATGATTCATTTGCTTGACAGTCCTATCTTTACAGATAACATAAATAATCCCCTGAGCAAAGTTTTTTGAAATGGCATCTAGAAGTGTGTGGCATTTACTATTGAGGACTCAACATCAATGAAAACCTTAAATACGTGTCTCTGATTTGTTATGATCATGTTAACACTGATCAGTTATGAAGACAGAGTGATTATTTTCAAATTAGGGGAGAATGTGAGTGAAAGAAAGCCCGCATTCCAGAAGTTTCTCCAACGGTTCTGTGGACCTGGTGGGAGTCGGTGGAGGAAATGAGTTTTCCTCAAAAGAAGGTTTCTCGAATTTGAGAAAAAGGGCTTTGGAAGCTGCCACCTGCCCAGTTCCCCCCAGACCTGACTGATGGGGAGCATTTACTCGTTTTACAGTTTGCACCACCTGGAGTGAAAAATAAAATGAGATGATGGCAGAAGACTGAGGACGTTAGATTTTAAAACCCGGCCAAAGCCTAGCCTGACACCCCAGTGTGCTGTCAGATTGGTTTTTTTTTTATATATTCGATTTGTGTCTCTCCCGTTGACACAAGCCTCACAGATGATTTGCATAGTTAGGCAAGGATTTATTTCTGCAGCTTGGAGGCAAATGAGTAAAAATCTTGAGAGGTTTGGTGGCCTAGCTCTGTGAGGCCCCAGAGAAACCCTCAGGGGCCAGAACCCTCATCCTTAGGACCCCACACACCAGCTTGTTCTTTGTCTCCCTGCAGTTCTCGCTTGCCGGTGACACTAAAGGTCCCTTCTGGCTCATGGCCACGGTCCTTTCTGGAAGGTGTTTCTGGAGCCAAGGCCTCTTGACTAATGCAGCGCAGAGCCAGCCGACTTGGCCGCTCCAATCCTTAGCCGTTGCCTCTGACCCGCTGGCTCCCCTGCCTTGAGCTGTGCATAATCTGTGTCCCCCACTCTTGTAGACATGGTACCCCCTCGTTTAACTTGACACTTCACCCCAAAATGCTGCCCCTCCATCTCTCTGGTCACCTATTCAGCCAGCGACCTCCCGCCCCCAGGAAGTCCACCCATCTCTCCCTCTTCACCCAGTCATTGCCAGGACTACTTGGTTTTACTCAAATGTCTGTAAAATCTTCCCTCTGGCTCCCCTTTTCTCTCATGGCAGCCAGTAAACTTCCCGTCTCCTTGGTGTTTCAGGAGAAAACAATTGTTTTTAATATAGAAAGTGAATTTTCATAAACTTCCCTGTGGCTGTGCCACTCCCTGGCAAGTCCTAGTTCCGCTTGTGCCCACCTGGCAGTATAAGCAGCTTAGCTGGGCCTCGAAGGCCCTGGGTGCTGACCCGGCCTCCTGTTCATCACCCCAGGGCTCACGCATTCCCGCGCCCGCACCCGCCCTCTCTCCCGCCCGTCCCTGGCATCTCCAGGCTTTGCATTAAGCGTTGCCCTCTCGTTCCTCCAGGCCAGGAGCCTCCGGGCTCCCTGCAAGTTGGGGTGTGTTTCCATCCACTCTGGTTTCCCGCTCTGAGCTCCCCAGGTGCATGTGGAGGCCCAAGACAGTGTCTCTGAAGGTTTGAACATCCCCATGCGCGTTGCTTGTTGCCTGGTTGGAGGGAAGCAGTATTTTGTGAGGCTTCTTGCTCCGATTTCTTTGCCCCACGGGCCCGCACTTGGAACAGACTCCCAGAGCACCTGCCCCAGGGTTGGGGTCTGGAAAGCCATTTTCCTGGCACTGGGACATTACCTGTATTCCAAAAGCTCGTTTCTAGTGAGTCTAGAGAACATGAACAGATGGGTCAGAGTTCAGTACCCCAGGCAGTTCTCAAACCAAATTTGGTGATGTTTATTCAAACCCCACATCCAAAAGCCTCAAGTCCAGTCGTGGAAAAAATCCGAGCCGCTTTTCACCTGTGACAGATTGTTGAGACTTGGCTACTGCAGTGACATTAATCACGGAGGAAGATTGTAAACGCCCTCTCTTTGTTTCTTTTTTTAAACAGGATCAATTTGACAACTTAGAAAAACACACACAGTGGGGAATTGATATTCTCGAGAAATACATCAAGTTTGTAAAGGAAAGGACAGAGATCGAACTCAGCTATGCCAAGCAGCTCAGGTAAGTTGCTCTTGACAAAAGCTATTTGTTTTCTGCAAGATGGACCTGCATGTTGCTTATATTCTCTTTTTCTAGTATAAGTGTGTAATCCTTTCACAGTCTCTTTTTCTGGAATAGAAATAATTGTTCTTATTTTTTTTAAAGATTTTTATTGTATTTATGCACACAAGAACTGGGGTGCAGGCCAGAGGTATGCGGGGGTGAGAGGATTCACCAGAGACAGAGTGGGGAGCAGAACAGGCAAATCTACTGAAACACTGCTGAGGGGAGCAGTGGGGAGACAGGAGAGGTCTGCTGTGCCATGTGGGTACCTCCCTGGCTAGGGATCAAACTCGTGCTGCAGTGACTGCAGATAGTTTCATAGTGCTGCATCTTAACCCCTCGTGCTACCAGGGAGGCCCGAAATCTGCGTTTTTTATATAAAATGGCAGAAATGTATTGGCAGAACTTAGCTCGCCTTGAAGTGGCTTACAGCGTCTGCAGTGATCTCTGGTCTGGTTGAATTGGTTTGTGTGGATCGCCTTAAGACCCACTCCAGATCTAGATGACTTTGGGTTTAGAAACATTTCATTTGAATCCACAGACCATCTGCATAGGGGATGTGGCCCCTGTCTCGGAAGGGGTGGGGGCTCTGCTTGTAAATAAGCACCTCAGTGGTCCCAATGGCAGAGTTTTGTGGATGACAAGTTTTGTTTCCTTTGGTAAATCAAACCTACAGCCCAGTGCACAATGAGTTCAGTCTTAAAACTCACTGAATCCAGATCGAGGTCTGGTGCCCGATGGGAGCTGCTGGTGGCGAGGGTTTAAGTCCTGTCCCTTGGGTCATGAAATGTCTCCCACGCGAAAGTGGATTCCACAGCGGCTTTCCCAAAACAGGGTCTGCACCTTGGCTTTGCCCCTGTTGCACTTGGAGGTATGGGTGTTCGTGTCTTTCTTCATCCTCCATATCCTGCGCCCCTCTTCCCCGGTGACTTCATCTGCTCTTTTGTTTTGCATGGAGGTTTGTTATTAGATGTCATAAAGCCAGTTCCTGGCAAGTCTCTGCCTGTGTCATAAGTGGAAAGTACTTAGCCAACCCCGCTGTTCTGTACCTGCCTCCAGACCTGTCTCCTCCCCTGGGAAGGGATTTAGGTGACACAATGGGGAAGATGCAGGAAAGACTCCAGATTCAGTATAGGTTTAGGATAAGACTTGCGGGGTGCGGCTCTGATGGACTTTTCCTGAGATTTAAGTATTGATATTTGTTTCATTATACCTTGAAGAACGTCGGGGGTCTGTATTGTTGGGGGAAGTTGATCAAAAAGATCAGGAGCAATTGAAGAAATCCTTCAAAACCATTACTAATCCTCCCGAAGAGTCCTCTGAGCTGAGATCTCGGCCTGGCCTCCCCGTGGGTCTGTGTCACCCTCTCTGTCCTTGGGGGATCTGCTTCCCCGCTCCCCCAAGGGCTTGTCCTAGCTTCTCTGTCAGCAACCCGCCAACACTTCCATCCTCACTGCTTCCGTCTTCACTGGGAACACTGAGGCAGTCAGAAGAAATTATCACCCTCTCCCCACATCTCTGTGTCCCCACAAAGTGCACCTGTCTAAATCCAGCGCCCCCTCTTGTGTCTGAGCTCTCACCCCCTCACCCCCGTGGACTCCAGAACTCTGTCCCAATAGATTCCCCTCTCTCCTACGTCACCAGTTCTTCACTCTCCGCTGGATTTCCCCCTTCAGCACACAAATGCCCCGTTATGTCTCCCGTCATTAAAAAAGAAAGAGGAAAATTCCTGAGCTCACGGTCCCCACCGGCTCCGGCTATGTCTGCTTCCTGGGCAGCAGGCCTTCCCCCGGGGCCCGGCTCGCTGTCTCCAGCTCTGCGCTGCCACCACTCAGCCAGACAGCTCAAGGGCACGGTGACCTTCCTGTTGTTCAACCCAAACCTCACTGGCCCTGACCCGTTAGCAGCCTTGCCGGCGCGCCCTTCCCCTTGTTTGCTGGAAACCTCACCGGCAAGGCTCCCTCGCCAGCTCTGCTCTCCTCCTGCCTCCTTCCCCTGATGTACGTGTCCCCGGCCATCTATTCGGCCTGACGCCAATGTGTGTCTCCGAGCCAGACCTCTGTCCCGCACTCCAGACACCAGTCACCTGAAATCGCCATTTGGGTGGCTCAGGACGTCTGAGCAGAGAGGCGCCTGCAGGGACTCTCTCCAGTCCAGCCCCCTGCTGTCTCACAGGAGACTGTGTCTTTCCTGCTTTGGTCCAAATGTCCCTTGCACTGTCCCCATCCATCCTGGTAACTCTACTTTCTAGATTTATCCAGGATCCAACCCCTTCTCATTACCTCCTCAGCTGCCCCTGGCCCAAGGCCCTCTCGCCTGGATTGTCCTCCTCCTGACTGGTTTCCCTGGCCCCTGTTGTCTGTTTTCCACAAAGCAGCCAGATCATGGGACTCGTCCAAAGTTCCAGCAGCTCCTCCTTTCACTCGGAATAAATCCATAGTCCTTGGGGGTGAGAGGATTCACCAGAGACAGAGTGGGGAGCAGAACAGGCAGATGGACGGAAAACACTGCTGAGGGGAGCAGCAGGGAGACAGGAGAGGTCTGCTGCGCCATGTGGGTAGCTCCCTGGCTGGGGATCGAACTCTTGCTGCAGTGTCTGGTGATAGCTTCATGGTGCTGAGACTTTAACCCCTGTGCCACCAGGGAGGCTCTAAATCCACAATCCTTACCGTGCATTCCCACAGAGCCCTCCATCGTGGGCCCCACACCTCTCTGATGTCCCCCTCTCTCCTCCCTCCCTGCTCCACCCCACAACTTCCGCTGCTTCTTGTACATCCCAGACAGCTTCCCACCCCAGGGTGGTTGCAGGGACCACGCCCTGGATGTCATCTCTACCTTCTTCCGCAGGATCCCCCGGCCACTCCCGTCACCTTCCAGTCTTTGCTCAAATGTCACCTATCCAGAGAGGCCTGCCTCTGTCCCCTACTGCGCTGCTCAGTTTTTCGGGGCTCTTGAGTTATACTCACTAGTGCCCCTGGCCATCAAATGTGCTCAGTAAATAGTTGCAGATAGAGTGAACCCATAGGGGGCCTCCAGGTCTCAGCCTTTGGATTCTGGGAGGAGAATTATGTGTCTGCACCCCGCTGGCCTGTGAGCTGATGAGAGTTTAACAAAAACTACTGACAACATGTCCAGGGAGCTCCAGGGGGACTCTGATGAATGAGACACAGGAAGTACCCAAGTCTGGGGAGCTCACCTTCTATGGAAAATGGGCCACATGCAAATAAAGAGCATTTAAAGATAGCATTGCTCCTCCCCCCCGAATACGCTCAGTCAGTGATGCAGTAGGGTGTGATGAGGGGGCGGGGGGCTCCTGAGCTGGACTGGCCAGGGAAAACCCCTGACTGGAGAACTGAGGACAAGCTGACACAATGGAAAGATTTGCCAGTAGCTCTGCAGGGTGAGAATGGGTGTGTGCCAAGGTCCTGGGGTAGCAACATGTTCAACAGGCCATGGGACTGCAGCACGTTCCGTAAATGCTTGCTTGGAGTATCAGCGTCCACTTGACCTTTTTGAGAAGGCATCTGTCATGATAATTTTTATGTTTTCTACATTAGAAGGAAAAGTGCTCCCTTGTTTTAGATGCAGAAGATGATAATTAGGGCTTTGGGCTGGCAAACTTCAGCCCTCAGCAAGTCCACCCCCTGCCTGCTTGTATAAATAAAGTTTTATTGAAACACAGCCAGGTCCATTCCTCTATATATTGTCCATGACTGCTTTGGGCCGACAGTGGCCGTTGAATAGTTTTGGCAAGAGAGACCACTTGAGCGTGACCTAGATTTTACGGAAGTCTAAAACCTTCACTCCCTGGCTCTTTGCAGAAAAAGTTTGCTGACCCCTCTTGTAGTTATTTACTCAAGGCAGCGCTGGGTGAAGTTCCTAATATAATTGTAAACATCTTTTATGGCCTATATGAAACCCAACTGTTGCTTGCCCCGAGCAACTCTTTTTTTCTTTCTTTCTTTTTTTTTTTAAGATCTGAATTATTTGTTCTGGCTAGATCATGAATTCATGTGATTAAAAATTCCAAAGGTATAAAATGGTTTATAATGAAGTGCCCTTTCTCTTACCCCTGTCCGCAGGGACAATAAAGCTATCAGTTTCTTTTGTATCCTTCCAGGGAGATTTTTATGCCTACCCAGATGAGGAGATGTGTGTTTTCTTCCTCCCGTCCCAGCAGTTCAGCAGTCTGCCCTGGCCTTTCTGCGGCTGCCTCTCATCTGTGGAGTCTTGATTATTCTGAATTATTTGCCACTTTGAACAAAGTTGCAGTTGGGCCAGCCCATCGAGGAGATAGGGTCCAAAAAAATATCACTCTGGTTCCTGTAGAATCTGCCCAGTGGCCTCCTGGGAGGCTGTGATCCTGAGCATTCCTGGCAGAAGTAGTCATGCCATTAACCTTGACCCTCAGAGCTTCTGTTACTGGTCTTTGCTTATCTTTGCCAATTTGGTCACTAAAAATTGCTAAGTCTGAGCTGTGCCTGTGTGTTGACCTGTGAACGAGGGAAAGCAGGTTTTTATACATTTGAACCACTTGTACTTCTCAAACCATTCACGCCCAGTGTTTTTTTTTTTTTTTTTTTCTTTTATTGGAGCACATTATAAAGAAAGGGTGACTATGTAGAAATCCCGCTCTGAAGATAACTACATTTCAATTTACTTTGACAGTAAAAAAAAAGACATTAAAGGGCCTCCCCGGTGGCGCAGCGGTTGAGCGCTGGGTTGCAAAGCTGCCCGCAGCCTCTGCAGCGCCAGTTCGAACCCCGGCTGCTGGGCGAGGAGGTTCCCACATGGCGCGCAGACCTCTCCTGCCACCCGCTGCTCCCCTCAGCAGTGTACTTCGGTCCTTCTGCCTGCTCTGCTCCCCGCTCTGGCTCTGGTGAATTCTCTCACCCTCCCGCGCTTCTGACTGTACCCAGTGCGTGTATAAATAAATAAATCTTAAAAAAAAAAAAAAA